CTTGCTAAAACGTACTTGCTCTGATTAAAAATTTGAACATAATGGTAATTTTGTAATTTCACTATACATTCCCATCAATATTTCACCATCAACCAAACATAGTGTAAGAACCCGCACCGTTAATTAAGGAAATTAATTAATTATCTATGAGAATTAGGAAATAATTCCATAATTGACCCTAATAATTATTATGAGGCTTAAATAAGTATGATAAGTGATTAAGAATGCTGAAAGTCGCTTTTCGGAAGAAAAATGCAAATACCGGTTCTGCTAGTCGGTATGATGCGTACCAAAAAATTATCCCAGAAAATTATAATAAGTGCATGATAATTCCTAGAATATCATATAGGACTTGTAAAACGAGTTTCAAGTTAAAATAATGAGAACTGGTGCCAGAACCTGATACTGGCTATGAAAAGCGCGTACCGGAAAGATGCTCTGAAAAATATAATAAAAATATTATAATTCTTGTAAAATTGAGTAGGTTAAGAATCCTGAGTTTGGGATTAAAATGCTAAGCGTAGAAATTAAGGTTAATAATGCGTGTTTATTGGTTATATGACTATAAATACTCATTCTTTGGGCACACAACCCTAGAATTCTGTTGCTACGTGGGTCTTCTTGGTGGCTGACCAGAAAACACAGCTCCATTTCCTTCCTCCACCTCTTGTGAGCCAAGTTGCCATCTTTTACTTGGTTTCTTCATCCTTGAGCTTGCATACACCTGAGAGCTTGCTTGGAGAGGGAGTGTGAGTGTATATTCTGAGTTTCCAGACACTGTGAGTGGGTGTGAGTGCTGACCTTGTGTTGTTTGGGTGTTGGGAAGCCATGGTCATGGCACTTTGAGATCCAAGTGGTGACCTTTGGTGAGAAAGTACCAACCTTGATCATCATTTTTCATTTTTCCTTGGGAAGTCAGAACTTGAGGAGTTGTTTGGTGAGCTCCATGAGCCATTCTTGTTGAGTTTTGAGCTTTGGTAAGCCTTACAACCTTCGATCATGAGTTTAAGTGCTTAAAAATGGAACCTTGATGCATGTAACAAGATAAGATGATAACCTAACATTGGGTAATGCTTAACACACTTAGAAAGACATGTTTAAACTTCTGTAATTGGTAAAAGTTGGACTTTGGTTTGGATTTTCGCGAAATGCAGAATCTGGGTTCTGTCGCGAAATATCCGGATATTTGGTTGTGAATATCCGGATATTGTTATCCGGATATTGATATCCAGATATGGGGATCTGGATATCCGGATATTGATATCCGGATATGCCCCCGACATATATCCGGATATTCTGGGATTTCGAAGAACAGTAGCTGCACTGTTCATACAGTAGGCTATTGGGGGTTTGTGGACCCTAGATTTATGAAGTTGAACTTCTGTTTTAACTGAACTAAATCAGAATCAAGTGGTTAAGGGCTTATGGCTTTGTGTGAAGCCTTAAGACATAAATCGTAAGAGGAAAACATAGTCTTTATGTTTATGCTTATGAGCTATGAATGTTGATATGCTTGTTGGTCCAAACAGATTGTGATTGTACTGTTTGTGGACGTTGAGCTGCGAGGACTCTTGGCTTTGGATAGTGAGCTTGCAAGGTAAGCTTCCGTGTCCTCGGTTTAGCCATGTTGTGGTTCCACCATGTCCCATGGAGGTATGGTTATATTCATGCTGTGTTATATGCTTTTGAAGTTTTGGAAATGTTGTTGAGTTGTTATATGCTAGTGCCTTTATGATATGCATGTGGTGTTCCACCTACACGGTAAGCCTGAGTATGTAGTACATACAATATGGTGAGGCTGTGGGTGAGGTGCAAGCGGTGTTCCTTGTACTATCTGTAGGTAATAGACGTATTCCTGCATTTCTTTGGCCAGTAGAATAGTTTAAACACACATGACATGAATATCTGTTGCACTGCATAGTTTTGGAACTTATATTGGAAATTACTGTTTTTGAACTTATATTGCACATGTAAGTGAGGTTGGGGTGGAAGATCCTTGAGGACCCCTTGTCTTACTGAGATTTCTGATTAGAGATCTCACCCCACCTTTGGGGAATGCTTAGTTTAGGTTCAGGTAATGCGAGGGTTGAGACCTTTAGTGGCAGGAGGCCAGAGCTTAGCTGATAGATGTTACATGTTTATGCTGCTTATGATGATATGCTGCTATGATTGGATGTTGGATCTTATTTACTGTCTTATGCATTTAGCTTTAGTTTATGGATTTCTCTGTTGAGACTCTATTTGTTATGATGTTGATTTGGTGAGCATGGGGATTGTCCATGCCACTTAGACTTGATTATATCTTGTTTTATTTGGAGTTGTAATAACGTATTAGGATATTGTCCGGACTATGTGTAGTAGATCCGTGACATAGATACTCACTTTATCTATAAATATAAGGTATTCCAGTTAGATGTCTTTTTGTAATTTACATACAGGCGATATTTTATGAAATTGATTAAGTAATCAACTTGGCTAAGTATAATGACGTCATAATTGAAAAGAAAAAGATATTCCGCATTTTTAATTAAGCGCAGCTTAATACGATGATATGTTAACAAATTGGGTATACACAGGGTGTTACACATAGTATTAGTAAAAATAACTCAACTTTTCCGGAAAAATTAGCACCTACCAAACACTTTTGTGTAACTTACCCAGGCCAAAAAATTTCTCACCATATTCTGAGATTTTTTTTTCTCCGGTTATAAAAAATTTCTCCCATACCAAACACCCCCTTAAGTTCAGTGTCATTTGTCTCGTTAGTAAAATGGTCACTTTAATTCTTGAGCAATGAGTATGCTCCTAGCTATGTCTTGTGTGTGTGTGTATTATAGTGTGAACGTAATCAAATCAAATGGGAACAAATTGCTTCACATATTTAAAATTTTATCAGCAAAGATAAATGTGAAGTAATTTGAAGGAAAGCTAGGTATAGCAATTCCAGTTATAAGAAAGTAAAAGACTGAGATAAGCAAGCATGGTTTTTGGCTTTTTGTACCATACTTAATACGAAGAATATTAATGACACGTAAAAGGGTGTGGATCACACATTGAATTGAGTCTTGCACGTGCGTTGGCCATTACAGGATATAGGGATTAAATAATAAAATCACAGCCAGCTAGCTAATTCTGCAAAAATTGATAAAATAATTAGGTTCTAAATGTTATTGTTTTTAAATCAATTAAGTTTCTCAATTTCATGTGAAGTTGGGGCAGCAGGACCACATTCATTGCTCTTTCTTCACCAAATTGAGTCACCATTGCATTATTTTTCATTTCCTCAAATATGTGCTCAGTACATATGTATTAGATCCTGTTTCAAAGAAATAGATTGCGCTGGACCGCTATAGAGTTGGGCTTTTTATAAGGTTTAGAGTTGGGTTTGGATATATGTATACGAAAATCACAATTTAGGAATTTGTAGCACATTGATTATTATAACTAGAAGTTAAATAGCCAACCAGAGTGATAATTTGATTATCATATATCCTATGAAAAGTTTTAAACAAAACGGTTTATCAAAGAATGCTACAAATTGTTGCTCATTTGTCACGTAAGCTTTTTAGCATAAAACTTATGAATGATCAATTATTGTTTTTGATGTTTGATTGATGTTATATTTTTTATTTAAAATATTTAATTACTAAAGTTTAGGTAAGAAACAGTCTATTATGACCCACGTCATCTTTGAATTATTTTATAGAAATTTTTCCCAAGATATAGCAGTCCTTTACTTGGATTTGGTAAGAGCAATGCTACTTCCCACGCAATTTATTTTATAAAGATATTATGGAATGCCTGTTGACGTGCCAGTGAGGGAAAGAATCCTTTTTTTTTCATGAAGTTAACCTTGAATTGTATTTGACCCCACAAACTCAAGGTCAAGGTTAATACAATTAAAAAAAAATTCAAATAAAATAATGAAATAATAAAATTAAAAATACCACTTGTATTTTTTTTTTTAATAACTGACTTCGAAACCTGTTTGCCTTATTCTTTTAAGTTAAAAATTAATTTTAAACTAAAATTTAAAATAAAACTAAGATTTATTTGTAATTATATAAAAAATTTAGCTTAAAAGTTTCTTTAAAATTTAAATTTAAATTAAATTATGTAGTAAAATAACTTTTGTATGATCTGTTTTGGATATTAGAAACTTATATTATTTATATAAACACAAATATGATAAGAAGTAAAGGCTTTTTGACCATTATATCCCTTATTAAATAAAAAATAACCATTATGTCTCTGCTTCAAAACTATAAACCAAATTGCCCCATTTTAATCGATTAAAGTAGATATGTAATCGATTAAACAGTGTATAATCGATTAAATTAGATGCATAATCGATTAAAATGTCAAAAAACAAATTAACTTTAACGAAAGTTGGGTTGAAATGGAAATGGGTTGAGTAATACCCCTGGAAATGGGTTGAATAATACCCCCACTGCAACTATTATACTTTTGCAGTTAATCAAACTCTCAAATTCCCATAAAAATTGTAACCCAATCTATGGAAAATGCATTCAAATTTCCATTAACTAAGGACAACAACCACTGAAGGAAACAAATTCAAAAGACCTGCAAAACTTTCGTTAAAAATTTGAATTTTATTTTTTACCACATTAAACTCAATGAAAACCAGCGCGCATGCTTCCCGCAAGACCAGATTGTTTCAGGTTTTCAGCATTCTGAACAGATACTATACTCCTTCCTTCAAAAACATAACCCACATTCTCTCAATTAATAGCAAGTTACCTTTCAGTTACTTCCGCTTCATCATTATAATTGTTACTATTGTTTTTTAACAGAGAAGAGAAAAACACTAGTAATTATAGTAAGCATGAAAACACACAAAAAAAGAAAAAGGATAAGGTTTTTTAAAAAAAAAATTGAATGTAAATGAGATGAGATGAAGTATTTTAAAGATAGAGAGAAAAGCATGAAAAGAGTGAGGCTGGTATGGCAAGGGGTGATGATGCGTAGGATAAGGATGCGCAGGATAGAAGCCTCTGGTCTGCTCCACATGTTCGCCTTCACCCCATGCAACCCTCTCTTCATCTCCGGCACGTGCCCACCATGCCCCGCCGCCCCTTGATTCACGTACTTGCTCAGCTCCGGCGCACCGGCAGCCTCATCAAACCCACAAACGAACCACTCGTTCTCCTTGACGTTCCTCCTCATCACCTTCTCCCAACACAAGTCATGATGCAATGCCACCAACGCTTTCGTCATGTACTTCAACACCTCCACGTAATTCAACGCCTCCTCGCTTTCGTTAAAGTTAATTTGTTTTTTCACATTTTAATCGATTATGCATCCAATTTAATCGATTATATATTGTTTAATCGATTACATATCTACTTTAATCGATTAAAATAGGGCAATTTGGTTTATAGTTTTGAAGCAGGGACATAATGGTTATTTTTTATTTAATAAAGGATATAATAGTCAAAAAGCCAAGAAGTAAAAGATAAATATTTTAAAGGAAAAATAGATTCAAAAATAAATAAAACATAATTTATTCATTCTTCTCAGTGATATTCTCATTATTTTCAAGAGAAGAAGGAGGAAATCGAATGCTTTGTCATTGAGCTGAAAAGTAAAATTTATAAATATCAATTTTAAATGAGGTCATAATTAAAAAAAAATATGAGAAATAAAAAAAAACTATTATACATCTTAAAAAATTCCTCACGTGACCGTATACCTCTTTGTTATTTTATTGAGGAAGGTTATATTTACAAACTTTTTGTTTACAAACTCTTACAAACTACACTAAGTATGACCGGTCATACTTTAATCAAGAGCGTATGACTGGTCATACTTAGTGTAATTTGTAAAAAAAGTTTGTAAACAGATCCTTCTCCTATTTTATTAATTATAAAAAAATTCTTCTTAAAAAAAGAGCTTTTGATAAAAATTAGGGGTTGTAATTTTCTATACGTCTTGCTAGCACGACATCTGTAACACCCCGTGCATACCCGGTTTGTTATCATATCATCGTATTAAGCTGCGCTTAATTAAAAATGCGGAATAACTTTTTCTTTTCAATTATGACGTGCTTAATAACCAAGTTGATTACTTAATCCTTTTTCAAAATAATGCCTGTATGTAACTTGCAATATAGCTAAATACAATGAATAACCTCATAACATAAATAAGTGAGTATCTAAGTCACAGAACTACAACACGTAGTCCGGATCATAATCCTGATACAATTATACAACGCGAAACTAAATCAACAAAGTCAAGTCAATGTGGCATGGACAATCACCATGCTCACCAAATAAGGCAACATAGCTCAACATAGTCTCAAATCATAAAACAATATAAAGGTAATAAAACAGAATAACAGCCAGGCATATCAGCACAACATCAAATATCTCAACTCAGCTCTGGCCTCCTATCGCCCGAGGTCTCAACCCCCGAGTTACCTGAACTTGAAAATGTGCCCCAAACGTAGGGTGAGATCTCTAAACATAAATCTCAGTAAGGCAAGGGGTCCTCAAGGATTTCTCCACCTCAAACTCACTTACATGTGCAATATAAGTTCTAAAAGCAGTAAAATAGTATAAGTTCCAAAATCAGTGCAATGCAGCAGAATAATCATGTTATGTGTGTCAAATATTCTACTGGCCAGAGAAATGCAGGGTTTACATACGTCTATTACCTACAATCACTGCAAGACAACACTTGCACCCACCCACAGAATCACCTTGTGGTATGTCTCATACATACACAGGCTTACCGTCTTGGTGGAACAACACATGCATATCATAAGGCACTTGCACATACAGCTCAACAACATTTCAAATATCCAAACATGAAAACACATCATGCATATAAACCATTCCCCCATAGGGTATGTGGAACCAACAATGGTTAAATCGAGGACCCGAAAGCTTACCTCTCAAGCTATCCGTCCAAACCAAGAGTCAACACTGGCCCAAGGTCACCAAACAACACAATCACAGTCTGTGTATATCAGAAACATCATCAATATCCATACTCTAAAGGATTCATTTCATTAGACAACATTTCCCCTTTCGTTTTCATCTTTTCTAGTTCATAATTATCAAGCATTAACCCCCACCATGAAAGGTATTACTGTTTCCCAACAGTAACACAGACTTCCTAGGGTGTAAGAACCTGCACCGTTAATTAAGGAATTTTAATTAATTAATTATGCAAAATTAGGAAATAATTCCACAATTGACCCTAATAATTATTATGAGGCTCTAATAATTATGATAAGTGATTAAGAATGCTGATAGTCGTTTTTCGGAAGAAAAGTGCAGATACTGGTTCTGCTAGTCGGTATAAATGCGTACCTAAAAGTATCCTGGAAAACTAAAGTAAGTGCATGTTAATTACTAGAATGTCATGTAGGACTTGTAAAACGAGTTTCAAGTCCAAATAATGAGAACTGGTGCTAGAAACTGATACTGGCTAAGAAAAGCGCGTACCGGAAAGGTTCTCAGAAAAATATTATAAAAATATGATAATTCTTGTAAAATTGAGTAGGTTAAGAATCCAGAGTTTGGGATTAAAATGCTAAGCGTAGCAATTAAAGCTAATACTGCGTGTTTTATGCTTATGTGGCTATATATACTCTAATCATTGGGCACAAAACCCTAGATCAGATTTTCTATGTGCCTCTATTTTTGCTGAACAACTCCAGCCACCTTTTGCCACTCTTTTCTCCATTGTTGTGAGCCAAGGAGCCTCATTTCTCCTTGGTTTCTTCTCCAAATACTTTGGGCTTGTGAGAGCTTGCTTGGTGAGGGAGTGTGAGGGCTTTCCCTGAGTTCCAGCCTTTGTGAGTGAGGTGTTGAGGTTCTGAGTTTGTGGTTTGGGTGGTGAAGGTCTTGTTCTTGACTTGGGGCTCCAAAGTGTCAACCTTTGTGAAGAAAGGACCTTTCTTGGTGTGCATTTTCGTGCACAGTGTTGAGGAAGACTTGGGAGTTGTTGTGTAAGCTCCATAGAGCACCTCCATCCTCTGTTTTGGCTTGTGGTATGATCACCACCTTTGAACTTGAGTTTTTATGCTTAAAAATGGAAGCTTGATGTATGTAAAGGCTAAAAGATGATAACTTAATGTTGGGTAATGTCAAACACACCTAGAAATGCATGTTTAAGTGTTTAAAATCGGTAAAAACCCAACCTTGGAAGGATATCTTCACGAAATGCAGTTTCTGCATTCTTTCGTGAAATATCCGGATATCTGCCCTAGAAATATCTGGATATGTGATATCCGAATATGGGATTTGGATATCTGGATATTGGATATCCGGATATGGGAATCTGGATATCCGGATATTGTATATCTGGATATGGTTAGTGAGATATCCGGATATTGTATATCGGGATATGTACCCGAGGAATATCCGGATATTCTGGGATTTCGTAGAACAGTAGCTGTGCCTTGAGGATAGTAGGCTATTGGAGGTTTTTGGACCCTAGGTTGATGAAGTCAGAATCATGTGATTAAGGGCTTGTGGCTTTGTTGGAAGCCTTAAGACGTAAATGGTTAAAGGAGAACGTAGTCTTTATGTTAATGCTTTTGAGTTATGTATGTTGATACACTTGCTGGTCCTAAATCAGATTGTGATATGCTGTGTGTTGGACTTGAGCTGTGAGGACTCTTGGCATTGGATAGTGAGCTTGCAAGGTAAGCTTTCGTGTCCTCGGTTTAGCCATGTTGTGGTTCCACATGTTCCATGGGGATATGGTTATATGCATGTTGTGTTACATACTTTTGATGTTTTGGAAATGCTGTTGAATTGTTATATGTTAGTGCCTTGTTGATATGCATAGAGGTGTTCTACCTGTACGGTAAGCCTGAGTATGTAGAACATACAATATGGTGAGGCTGTGGGTGAGGTGCAAGCGGTGTTCCTTGTACTACATGTAGGTATAGACGTATTCCTACATTTCTCTGGCGAGTAGAATAGTGATTTCACACATGCCATAGATACCTGTTGCACTGCATAGTTTTGGAACTGATATTGGTATAAATGCTTTTAGAACTTATATTGCACATGTAAGTGAGCTTGGGGTGGAAGATCCTTGAGGACCCTTGTCTTACTGAGATTTCTAGTTTAGAGATCTCACCCCACGTTTGGGGCGCTTATTTCAGGTTCAGGTAATGTTGAGACCTCAGGCAGCAGGAGGCCGGAGCTGAGTTAGATTTTCTGTATTTATGCTGACATGTTGGATGCTGCTTTATGTTTTTAGCTTAAGTTTATGATTATGTTTTACCTTGTTGAGACGCTGTTTATTTGGTGAGCATGGAGATTGTCCATGACACACAGTCTTGTTATGTCTTGTTTTAGTTGGAGTTGTAATAATGTATCAGGATGTTGTCCGGACTACTTGATGTAGATCCGTGACTTAGATACTCACTTTATATTTATATATTGAGGTATTTCAGTTAGTTGTCTTGCAATTTGCATACAGGCATTAGTTTTTAAGAAATTGATTAAGTAATCAAGATGGTAATTGATAATGACGTCATAATTGAAAGGAAAAAGAATATTCTGCATTTTTAATTAAGCACCACTTAATATGATGTAATGTTAATATTCCGGGTATACACGGGGTGTTACATAGGGCACCATACTCAAATGGGGACTTTCCCACGCATTAACACTGGTTTCTGGTCATTTTGACAGGTGCTAATCGATTACCAAGGACATGGTAATCGATTACTGCACATGGTAACCGATTACCAAAAATAGGGTAATCGATTACTGAACAAGGTAACCGATTACCAAAAAAAAGGTAATCGATTACTGAACATGGTAATTGTTGGGTGGTTTGCTGATGGTGGAAAAATATAAATTCTGATAGGGGACGTTCCTCTGTTCTTGCAGAACACAGATTCGTTCCCTTAGTTCCAACCCAAGTGCGCAAGTGCACACATCAAGTAATAAAAGGAGTATTAGTTCCCAAATTATCGTTCCCACGAGGATAGAGTCCTAATTATTGTCTTATACTGTTTTATAAAGAACGAAGATGAAAAGAAAAGTTAGTAAATAAACTGTTTGGTCAAACGTTCCCTACTGTCTTGACAACGTTCCTCAGGAACAGTAGGTTCAATCTGGTGACAAACAATTGCTCACTGCGTTATGTATGTGATCATTCCTGTTTAGAAGAAGGTGAGATAATAATCATTGGGGTTTTATAAGTGCAAGATTAAATAAAGTAAAAACTACTAAAACAGGAATAAC